CTAGACCAAGACACCTTTAGCCAATCAAATACCCTCGTTTGATGATGTGACACATCAGATCGGTCCAACGTCTGACCCGTCATTCTTTTGTCAAAGGATCGGACCGGATCACTGGTATTAGATGTGTTTCCTTCATAAATGTACCCAAAACTATGTTGAGGATGAAGGCTGTAAACTTGGGTTGATTCTAGGAGGAGATGTGAATCTGCTGCCCTCTGCTGGTTAGGCTGACTGAACCTTGGTGACTGATAAAAGGCTGTGTCAGGAAAACGCTGCTAGTCCACCGACCCAAGCCGCCACTGCAGCACAATGAGTCAGAGGCTATAAAACCCAGCACTGCTTGGCGTGTTGGTCTGAAGCAATCGTGCTCCAAGCACCACAGAAAGGTGTCACCATAAGAAATTTCAAAGTTCACCACCAGCTCTGATTTCTCTGTTTTTTTGGCGAGAGCAGGGAGGAGGCAAGAAATATATACGACAATTTCAAATACTTGTGCACCAAATAGACATAAACTCGCTTCAAAGCTAGAGGAAGTTTGTAACATTCATAGTTTTTTAGTCATTGCATCACCACAGCCACACGTCTAGTTTGATTGGCTGCACAACCTGAGGGGAGTTGATTGGTTTGATTAAAAAAAAAAAAATTAAATACGATTACCGGTACGATTTTGTGTGAAAGAGATTCTTGGAGCATTTAACCAGTGGAAGAAGTTCAGAACCTGTACAGTAGAAAAACCGACCCACTGATCAGACCGTGTCCAAAACCTAGAGTCAAAATGAAGCTGCTTAAAATGAGGTTAAGAGGGAGAAATAGGATTACTTATACTGTAACTCCAAACATTTCTATTTATTTAAAATGTTTCCCTTAATAGAATATGAGGTCCATACTAAGCGATATATAGGTTTTTAAATTCCCAAAAAATAAAGTTAAAATGTTGTCATTGAGATCATAATCCTACAAAATTGAAATAATTTAAGCATATAAAACATCATAACATGATGACATGTAGTATTGAGATAATGAGGTGGTAACAATACTAAAATAAATTGATGACATTACAAGAATATAGTCATAATATTACCAGATTAAGGTCTTAATTTTACGAGAATATTGTCTTAACAATATGAGAATAAAGTTGTTTGTAAAGAGATTAATTACACAATATCTCGAGATTTAAGGAGTGGCCTCCTTTAATGTGAACACTTACTAGAAAGCTCCGTCCTTCTAAGTTAAAATGTCCTGCTGCACTGGTGATAATGGTTGATAACTAGATCAAGCTTTCGTCTTATTATAGGTATTTTTTATCCAGTGATAGATCAAAAAGTTTAAATGCAGCCTTAATACTCTATTTTGACTTTTCATTTTTAATCATTTACAGTTGAAACGGGTTATATTAGAGCCATATAGAAACTCTGGTTATTCTCTAAATTCTATTTGATTAGAATTTAGTTATTGAAATATACTGTTTATTTTATTAAGCATTTGGTTAAAACTTGTGGTTATATCACTTAATTAGGCTCCTTTTAATGTCATGTGTTTAGTTAAGGTTACGTGCAGTTTTGCTTTATGCTAGGTTCAGACTGCAAGCAGCAGGAGCAGCAAAAACGCGCGTACTGCTTCATTTTTGATGCTTGTACAAGCTTAGTTCTGACACACGGCTGAAGCATTTCAAAGCGTTGGGCGGAGCTACCCTAACCTTTCCTTGCCTGTAACAATGGCAGCTATATTTGCTAATATAAGTGGGTAAAAGGTAGTTTTAATATGTTTTTAAGTGAGAAAGTCAACCTGAAAGTTCATCCAGATTACCATCCTGCCTTCTAATATTGTTTCTCTGTTAGAGCCCCTCAGACCCCCGTATACCGGCGGTGCTCTGTCACTAGGAATCCCGTTCGACAGCAGCCTCAGGCGCGGTTTTCCACTACTGTTTCTGGTGGCTGGAAGTAGATGTTAGCGTTTTTCACGCACGTAATCCAAACTGCAGGCAGCAGAAAAATAAACTAGAACATATTTTGTAGGTTTCGTCATTTTAAGTTAATTTAGGCGTCAATAAACTGTTTCAGAGGAGTGATCATAGTGCTCTGCATCAGCAGCGCTGTGTCCGTCTCCCTGCCAGCTCCCAGATCAGCTTCTCTGATTGGTTGATGTGGCGCATCCAGCAGCAAAAGTTACATTTTTTCCAACTCCAGCTGCTGCACGTCAACCATTAACTTTGCATGTAAACTAGCTGCTTCTGCTGCTTGCGGTCTGAACGTAGCATTAGGGGTGAGCATGGCAGAACTTTAGAAGTTTTAATGGAGCAGGACGAGGAGCAACAGTTTTCTCACCTTTAAGGTCATTTGTAAATTTGACTGTCATTACAGATTCTTTCTTTTTCGCGTTTCGTAATAAACTGAAGTGGATTTTTTTGTATTCCTTTTGCTTCAGTTCTTAAGAAAGGTAAACAAGTCAGAAACTTGAGGTCCTGCACGAGTGGCAAAGATTGTTTTTATTATCAGGAAAGAAATTTAGCCACTACAGGTTGATTTTTTTAATTTATTTTGATTTTCACTGATAGTTTTAAAGTGTAAACTTTTAATGAAGAATTATAAGAAAACGACAAATCAGGAATATGCACCACCATCAGATCGCTAGTATTAAAAAATCCAAGTTGTGCTGATGTTGTTTTTAATCTGTGACTTAGGTTGTGCAGGTCCTTAAAGTGCCATAGTAATTAAGTCATGTGGTACGACGCCTGCTGTGTTTGCTAATCTACCTCAAATGAGAGATTACACCCTTCCTCTAAGATTTGAGTCATTTTACTTCCATCATAAATTAGTCTGTTGTTATTAAATGAAAGGTCTGATGTAAATATAATTTTTGGAAGCAGCAACATTTCCAAATTGCATTTTGCAGAAGAAAATAAACGTATCAAAGGACTTTCTGCAGGAAAGTCGAGATTCATCCTCCAGCTCTCCTGCAGAAACACTTAAACCATCCAGCATCTTTAGACAACAGGTGGCAACAAAAAGCTGGATAAGTGATGCTTTAGCTGCATTTTCTTTTTCTTTTTTTTATACAAGTAATACACAAACACACAAGCTAGCAGCGATGCAAAGCAACAGACGCCGTCTCAGAATCCACAGCGAGCTCAAACACAAGAGTGTTACAACCAGGAAACAGTAGTTTGGTCTTTTTTGATTTAAATAAAGAATCTAAAGTATATTTCTACATTTAATCAATAAAAAATACCGAACATTTCAATACTCTAATATTAATGCTCACATTTATATTGTGCTCATTGGGTTCTATCTTAATATATCTATATATGTATATATATACATATACATTTCATTTATATATATGTATACATATATATCTATAAATGTATATAGATATCTATATATATGTATTTTTGTATTTATTCATATAAAATGTGTGTGCGTTTTTGTCATTTTTCTTTCTTTTTATAGGCTGCACCTCCAGCGCTCAGTGCAAATAAGTCGTTAGTAATGTTTCCAGATGCAGTCCTGATCACCGAGGTTGATGGGATCATGGAAGGCAGTATGTGGTCAATGAAAAGACGTAATGAGGCTAACGGGTAGCACCACTGGGAATCCAGAAGGATTGCCCACTTCAGAACTTCAGAAGGGACGATAACCCCCCCCAAGAAGAGGCATCTTCCCAAACGGTCGGAAAGGACAGCGAGTTAGCAGTGGTCTGCTTATCCTAGGTCCAAAGATCTCCTGTAGAAATTCAGAGCTTTAATTTACCTCAGAAAGTCAAGAAGGTGGAGTGATGTCCACACACTGCAAAAACGATCTAGAAAATACAAAAAATGAGGTAAATTAAGTGTATTTACCATCAATTTGAGTAGGTAAATAAGATGATCTGCCAAAGGAAAGAGGATTTTTACTCTAAATAATAAGATAAAATGCAATTCAAATAAGAATTCTTATTTTAAATATACATTTTATTTTTCCATTGGCAAAATGTCTCTTTTACCTTCTCAATTCAGATCAAATGCACTTATTTTAAGAAAAAATGACTTATCTAGGTTTAATTTTTTTCCAGTGCAAACTTAAGATAAATGACTAAACCAGGAAATTCACTCGAAATCTAGATAAGTAATTTATTCTCAAAATAAGTGCATTTGTTCTTGGATTAAGGAGGTAAAACAGACATTTTGCCAATAGAACAAGACAATTTAGATTTAAAACAAGAAAACACAATTGCATTGCCTTATTTTAAGAACATGTTATTGAAATTATTTTATTTTAATAGTAAAAACACAAATTCCACTGGTAAATTCTCATTTATAAACTCAAATTAAAGGTAAATACACTCAATTTAATAAATTTTACTTATTCCTGGATAATTTTTCCAGTGCACAGGAGTATTTAACCTCTAAAGTGGGAAATGCACTGGAAAAAACGATCTGGAAATAAGTAAAAATTTCTTAAATTAAGTGTATTTACCCGTAATTTAAGTAGGTAAATGAGATAGTTTGCCAATGAGTATTTTTACTCTTCAAATAAGATATTTAGATAATATACGCTTGAAATAAGACAATACAACTGGGTTTTCTTATTTTAAATGTAAATTGTCTTGTTCTATTGGCAAAATGTCTCTATTACCTCTTTAATCCAAAAACAAATGCACTTATTTTAAGAGAAAATGACTTATCTAGATTTCGATTTTTTCCAGTGTGCATCAGTTACTTTAGTCCAGCAGTAATGATCTGCTGACGAAGTTTAGGACCTTCAGGTCTAGAAGACCAAGAATTTCCATGGGACATCCCAGCCTTCATAGAGACCACTGAAAATGTAAAGGTTTGGCTTCAAACTCTCAGAGACGACCTAAAGGGTAAGGGGTTAGACTAATTCACCAAAGACCGGGGGATTGAAAGCTCTCCTACCATATAAGCTCCAGACAACGAGGAAGTACCATCCACCTGCAGAGGTCAGAGCCATACCTAATGCCTTCATGCTTCAGAACTGAGAGGTGGATGACTGGCCTACAAAGGTCCATCACCTTCAGGATGTCAGAGGGAACTCTCGTTCCGGGCTGTGGGGGCTGTATTGCTGCCTCAGAAGTTCTAGAAGCATGAACTATTGTAGAAGTCCAGGTACGCTCATCCTGATGTTCTCTGGAGAACTTCTTTGTAATGAAAACTGGGTGAAGAGTTGATGGATGAATACAAAGACAAGACCCTGTTAAGTACTGGTGGTCTTCAGGAGACGCTGCCCTTTCTTAGTGGATATCGGGGGTATTTTGGGTTTAGCGGTACGGAGTGTTCAGGGTCTTTGACCCGGTGGTAGAGCAGCCGCCGTAACTCCTGACTGAAAAAAACCCGGGTGAGTTTAAGGATAGCTGGTCACTGGCGCCTGTTTCTGGGCCAGCCGTCGCAGCTCCTCCCGGATAGCCTTGATTAGAGACGCAGAAGTGTGGGCAGACGGGGAGGCGTCCTCTGGTGGGTATTCTGGGGTGGGTGAGGTTAAGAGGAGGGGTGGAGCCGACGAGTCCCGCAACGAGGAAGTGGGCATTTGAAAAACAGACGAGGAAGAGAACTCAGGGTACGACAGCACCTAGAGGAAACAATACTGAGTTAATTCACAGAGAACTGCAAAAGGATGACAGAAGAACAACTTTAACTTTTATTTCCCCCCTGATGGAGAATAAAGGATACAATGCTGTAACATTTTAAGACAATAAATTTAAATGCTTCTTCCGCCATAAAAACAAAATACCTTCCAATAGTTCCAATAGAAAAGCCAGACTGACTGCAGTAAAACTAAACTTCAAAGAAAAGCACCAGTTTGCTGTCAGCAGAGCATGTGAGCGGAAGAATATGGTGGAGCACAGAGCGGATTTCGAATCAAAGGCCGATGCGCTCACGTCAATTAAAAATATTGGATTATAAAATCTGTAAAATAACATTTATTTGATTTAAGTGTGATAAAAAATTATAAAAACATACACTAACTATACTTAATACAGAGTGGGTTTACATAAAGTGATCGTCATGGTAAGAGCCTGTTTTTGAAAACGGATCGCATACATGCATTATACACCATTATCTCATTTGCAATGGGAGGCGAAGTGACCTTTTTTAATGTAGTGTAGTAAAATAAATAATTAATAGGAAATGCAGGGAAACATGAATGGAGCAAGTTGTTACGTTTAGTATTGCACCGATGCCATTTTTTGGCCCAGATACCCGATACCTGGCTGATACCATCTGTTTGAAATTAATGTGTGTGTATATATGAAGAACTGCATACTATTTGGATGTAAAATAATTGCCATCATGGCTTTGTCAAGCTGCTGCCTACCTTAGTTAAGCAGGAAAAAGACTGATAGAAAGTGAATCCAGTAGAACTTTTTATTGCCTACCTGGAATGAGTGACAATAGTTGAATAAACTTTTGCTTCTCAAATGGTATCGGCGCCCTATTTGTTGGTACTCGCCGATACCAATACCACCATTTTAGTGCTGGATGAGGGCCCCGCCCGATACTGGTATCGGTGCAACACTAGTTACGTTAACAGCTGGGACACGGTGCTATAATTTAACAGCCAGTTAAATAAGACAATATAAATGTATCGGTCACATCATTAAATCAAACGTCCAGGGCCCTGACAGAATTACATGAAGGAAAAATGCCTTCTCATGAAAATTTGAGCGGCAGGAAAATTAAGGTGAGCACGATGGATTTTGAGTGGAGCGTCCGTGCGCAACTGTGAGGGGCGGAACGAATGAGCGAACATCTTCCTGAGCGGGAAGCGGGAATTGCACGGCGCTCCGCTCCGCTCCGGCTGTCAGTACCGTTTCTGGGAAGCCAGAACTATCCAGGCCCAAACAGATGACCGTCTACGGAGGTAAGATAACTGATATAAAAATGTATGTGTACTTCTCTGGATTTAAAGATGTAAGTCAATGAATTTAAATAAATGTAATATTTGTATGTGTCCCTTTCTTTTTTTATGCAAACATAAATGTGTCATCGGACATCTCATCTGTGAGAATACAAGTTTAGACATTAGGAATTAAAAGTTACTACTTTACAAAACTACAGATATAAATTAAAAATGTAGAAATACACATCTACAATCCCTGATGAAAGCATTGCCCTCCTTAACAGATGGTGGCGGTAACGCAGCAGGAGGTTGTTTGGCAACCACATTTCAAATGAGAAAAAGATGACAATGGCCGTT